AACCTCGGCAGCATTCATTTTATTTGGGAAAAAAAAAACAACAATTTGGTTCTATTCCATAAAAACTAAACATAATCCTTGTAAGGCCGATAGCCTTGCTAAGAGCCGGATGAACAACACCCACCCCTCTCTATGCCTGATAACAGCTTATCAGGCAGAACACATTACTCAGCATCTGGCTCCTCCATGCGGGCTCCCCTCACCCACTTCTGCATTCTGCCCCCAGGTCTACATTCAGCACTAGACTATGCATTCTCAGCACCAAGCTATGCATTTGAACCTCAGCACTGAACTGTGCACTCTCAGCACTAAACTATACAGCTGAACCCACAAAAATTGAAGAAATCCCGCCAAGCCTTACCCAATGGCAGCCCACCCCATGCATCCTAGGCCAGCCCCCCTCTAACCCCCTAAAACCCCCTGCCCTGAGAAGTCAAGCTCGACTTCTCTGGCCCCCTTTCCTTAGGACCACAGAACCTCGCCCGGGAGATAAATAAATTGGCATCTGATTGTTCTTATACTGGCCTCAGTTTCCTCATTTTAAACTCAGCAGTAACCATTACAATCCTAACTGAAATACACCTAGGAAAACTAATAACAATAATAATAATAACTCATTAAAATGGAGTAATCAAAGGGAGAGAGGCAATGTAAAGTTATAGTTACAAAAGTTACTACTACAAAAAAACTAGTTTTAGATGTTCAAATTATCAGAAGGAAAACACAAAGCAAAGCAACACAAACACTGAACATCATGTAGAAGCTATTTAAGAAGTACCGAAGACAGAAAAATCACATCAAATAAGACAGAACTGAGACCAAACATATCTGTGATGTCAATGAATTGTCATACAAAACCATTAAAAGCAAGCTTCTCAGAAACACCACAAAGCAGAATCAAATTATATGCTGAACGCAAGAGATTCATTTGGAACAAAACAACCCTGAAAGTTGATACTAATTCTTCCAAAATTGAACTTACAAATTTAAAGCAACTGCACTCAATAGATTAATAAACTTTCATTTTAGAACTTGAAAAGTTGGCTTTAAAGTTCATTTTTTGCAAAGTAAATAACAATAAAGAGATACTTGTCCTTTCACACAGCAAAGCTTAGCATAATGGGTCAGCTATCCTAGTTATAGTCTCCGTAAAACTAACAGCTTACTGTTTGTCCAGAGCTTGTTCTGTGCCAGGCACTGCCCCAAGTACATTACACTTATTATCTCATTTAATCCTCACAACGCTGTTAAGGAGCAAATAATTATCCCTATTTGACAGATGACAAAATTGGGATTGAAGAGGACTGCATCACTGTCTGAAGTCCCCTGGCTAGTCAGTGATGGCTCAGAATCGACCCAGAACCTCTTTTTTCAGAGCTGGTGCTCTGGTCTAACTTTCCATTTCTAGCAAATGGAAAACAAATCATACTACAGAACATTATTACGGCATACTCCCTTGATTTTTTTAATTTGAATGTATGTATGTCTATATACAATTTCTCTCCCTCACCTTCTCCCACTCTTCCTCCCTCCTTCCTCTTATAATAGTTGGTTGTCCAAATGCTTGCATGCTCTGGAAGGAGATACACTAAACTTACAGGGTTTACTTTTGCGGAGTAGAATTGGTGGAGGAGAGGAAAGGGAGGAAATTTCATGTTTTACTTCATTTACTTCTGATTGTTTGACTATTACCTGCATGTTTTTCTTTAGTAATTAAAAAATAAGGATAAAAAGTAAGCCAAATTAAAAGTAATGAAAATATCAAAGGACAGCAGCATATCTTTGTTATCTCAGCTGTGGCTTTTTGAAAACGTGATACTAGAAATAGTTGTTGAGCTTGTTTGGCTTCGTGTAGAACATTTTCAAACTGAAATTAAGCACTATTACAATAAAAATTTCCCTAATACATTACTTTATAAACAGGATATTTCTTATTTCAAGATGATTTTCCTTTTTTTTTCTTTTTTGACACAGTGTTTTGCTCCATTGACCAGGCTGAAAGGCAGTGGTATGATCACGGCTCACTGCAGCCTCAACCTCCCAGGCAGGCTCCAGTGATTCTCCCACCTCAGCCTCCTGAATAGCTGGGACTACAGGTGTGTTCCACCAGGCCCGGTTAATTTTTGTATTTTTTGTACAGGTGGGGTTTCACTATGTTTCCCAGGCTGATCTCAAATTTCTGGGCTCAAGTGATCTGTCCACCTTGGCCTCCCAAAGTGCTGGGATTACAGGTATGTGCCACTGCACCCAGCCCAATTTTTGTTTAAGTAAGGTCACACGCTTATATACATAGAGTTTTAAAACTACTGATAGTTTTAATTGCATGACGGAAATCAACTGCTGCTTCCTTAGCAGAATACTCATCTCTCACAAGTGAGAGATGATATGAAAATGCTATTAAAAAATGTTTACCATTGCCAGGCATGGCAGCTCATGCGTCTAATCCCAGAACTTTGGAAGACCCAGGTGGGAGGATTGGTTGATTCCAGGAGTTCGAGACTAGCCCAGGCAATATAGCAAGATCTTGTCTCCACCAAAAATTAAAAAATAAAAATAAAAATTAGCCAGGTGCTGTGGCACATGCTTATAGTCCCAGTTACTGGGAGGCTGAGGCAGTAGGATTGCTTCAGTCCAGGAGCTTGAGATTGCAGTGAGCTATGATGGTGCCACTGCATTCCAGCCTGGGTGATAGAGTAAAACTCTGTCTTTAAAAAAAAAAAAAGTTTATTATTACTTTATCCTGTGGGTCAACTATTCTAGGGATAATACATTTTCTGAAGAATTCTGAGGTATTTTAGAGATCTTGATAATACATTCTTCCTTCCTCTCCAACTCTTGGTTAGCTTGCCCATCCCATTTACTCACAAAGCACTCTGTACTTCCACCTTCACAAAACTTAACCATACAAGTCTAATAATGACTTCCCTGGCTCACCTATCTGCAAAATCAACATCTCCATCCCCACCCATTTAACAGAGCCTGGCATATAGGAAGTTGACAAAAGTCTGTTGATATGAATGAATGGATGCTTTTAAGGTCTATGTGGAAAGAATACATAGAGATGCTTTTCTTATGGTAGCCAACTTATTACCTCAAAAAGAACAGGATTTTAAATAGTTAGTGGCAAGTGAGTAAATCATGGCTTGAAAAGTTATCTGTAGAAAGACATGCATTCCTTCAGTAATTTCTATGTTACTAAAATCTGAAATCTAGTGAAACCTGACATTTAATAAAACTAAAAACAATGTAATTTATATAGGTGACAGGACACACCAAAAATCCTGCCCTGATGCAGAAGACTGTGGACACTGGATCTTCCACACTCTTGTGATAGGAGACAATTTCTATCTGAATAGAAGACAAACTAGTACTAATAGTAAACTAATTTAATGAATATAAAATTATCTTGAGAAAATATGCATCACTGTCTGAAGTCCCCTGGCTAGTCAGTGATGGCTCAGAGTCGACCCAGAACCTCTTTCTTCAGAGCTGGTGCTCTGGTCTAACTTGGTTATGCATTTATCAGTTGTTTCATAATTTCCAGATAAATTCTGATACAATCATAGTTGAAAACATACACATATATATATTTAAAAAAATTTTTAATGCTGTATATTAGAAAACATGGGAATGTAAAATGCAAAACATGGAAATGTATATTAGGAAAAATGGTGCCACTAAATGTGAAAGACAGGATAGCAGTTCCTCAAAATACTGAAAATAGATTAACCATATGATCTAGCATTCCATTCCTGGGTATGCACCCAAAAGATCTGAAAGCGGACGCTTGAAATTTATTTGCATGCTAATGTTCATGGCAACATTATTCATAATAGCCAAAAAGTGGAAATACCCCCAGATGTCCATCGATGGATGAATGGAGAAACAAAATGTGGTATGGGCCAAATGCAGTGGCTCACTACTGTAATCCCAGCACTCTAGGAGACCACGGTGGGTGGATCACCAGGTCAGGAGTTCAAGACCAGCCAAAACGATGAAACCCCATCTCTACTAAAAAATACAAAAATTAGCTGGGTGTGGTGGTGGCATGCCTGTAGTCCCAGCTACTCAGGAGGCTGAGGCAGGAGAATCACTGGCACCTAGGAGGTGGAGGTTGCAGTGACCGAGATCACACTACTGGACTCCAGTCTCAGTGACAGAGCGAGACTTTGTCTCAAAAAAAAAATGTGGTATGAACACACCACATTCAGGAGTATAATTCAGGATTAACAAAAAAAGACATTCTGACACATGCTATAACATGGATGAACCTTGAGAACATTATAATAAGTGAACTAAATCACAAAAGGACAAATATTATATGATTCCATTTATCTGAAGTACCTAGAATGAACAAATTCATAGAGATAGAAAGTATAATGGTAGTTACCAGAGGTCGTGAAGAGGGAGAAATGGGGGTTATTGTCCAATGGGTACCAAGTTTCAGTTTGAGATGATGACAAAGTTCTGGAGATGGGCAGTGGTAACAGCTGAACAACAGTATAATTGTACTTAATGCTACAGAAATACTGAACTGTATACTTAAAAAGGGCTAAAATGGTAAATTTTATGTTATGTATATTTTACTACTGTAAAAAAATGAATAAGCATTTATTTTGTAAAAAACAAGTCTGTACTTATTTCTCTATTTAAAAACCTCCAATCTATTCAACTGACATGGACATCCCCCAAAAAGGAAAGAGTAGAAAAAAAGACATCATTAAGTTTAAAGGCAAACTCTAGAATCTGCAGCCCACAAAACAGATGGTCAGTGACTATGTACACAAGGAATTGTCCTTTATGCCAAAGCAATGAGGAAAAAGTAAGCTTGAAAAAATAAAATCCAACTTTCATTTAAGCAGAAAAATATTTTCAGAAATCTGATTTACAAGTAAAATATGATGCTTATCATTACCTATAAACTACAGTTTTCACTAAAGAAAAGGGGATAACATTACAAAGCATTAAGAAGTAACTCTTACCAAGTCAGAACCACACCACTGGCCAAAGCACATGATCACAAACCGCTAAATACTGGGCAAAGAACAAAACCCCGAGCATGGGAGAGGCTGAAAGCACACTGAAAAACACTTCGACTTAAAGATGAGTGGAAGAAGCTGATGTGGAAGCCAGGGATACTAATGGCGGGTGTTATTTTCCAGAAAGGTCCTGAGTAAGAGGCCATTGTTCTGTGTAAGTAAAGTGGTTTCTGTTTGTTTTCTGCTCTGCTATCAGAAAGAAGACAGGAAACAGGTGTGTATGGGAATGAGTAAAGCAGAGAATGAGCAGGCTCTGGGCAGGTATGCCAGATTCCAAATGTTCTCTCTAAACTACTACATGTGGAGAGGGAGGGAGGAAAAATGCCATGTAAGCCAGGGGGCAAAATCAATTATTTCATATTATTTAAAGGGGTGAAAGGGACAGAAAAGCTAACCTATTTTGAATTCCTGCTTCGTGCTAAGAGGCAAGGTGGTGCTGTATGTGGATTTTTCTCATTTAAACTTCACAGCCACTCTATGGCATTGTATTCTATCAGTTCTATTGATATACTACTAAACTCCTGCTATGGAAACTGAGGCACACACATACAAGTCGGGTAAGCCTGCCTAAAGCCACACTATTAGTAAGTTACAGTCAGAAGGCAGACCTTGGGTCTGAGTCCAATGCTCAGGACTTAATCACTGAGCTACACTGCCTCAATTCCACACAGACAGGAGAAAATAAGTTAGGAACAAAAATGGAAACGCTAGAAAGAAAATATGCTATGGTGTGTGCCAAAATAAACTACAAAACATTTACTTCTAAGATGAAATCTTGAAATAGTAGCAAAAAATGAGTCAACTAACAGGGAGGAGCTGAGAAAGCATTAGAACAAGGGAATTAGATACTTAGATTAAGGGCATTTTTGAGTCATGTCTTCTCAGGGTGCTTTCATTACCTCCCCACCTTTTGGGGCAGATATTTATCAGAACATCAGACACAGTCATTTTCAAGTGGATGGATAAAACTGTGTGGCTAAAAGTTATTTTATGCACTTTGAATTTATACACACCTCTAGCTTTGCAGCAAGACCTGAGGTTGTGCCCCAGTTCAGTTACTTTCTATGGGTGGGAACTTGAGTCTCACCCTGTTTTCTTTTCTGTTTTCGTTTTTGGAGACAAAGTCTTGCTCTGTCACCCAGGCTGGAGCGCAGTGGTGCAATCTTAGCTTGCTGCAACCTCCACCTCCTGGGCTCAAGCAATTCTCATGCCTCAGCCTCCCAATTAGCTGGGATTACAGAAGTGGGCTACCAAGCACAGCTAATTGTTTTGTATTTTAGTAGAGACGGGGGTTTTGCCATGTTAGCCAGTCTGGTCTCGGACTCCTGGCCTCAAGTGATCTGCCTGCCTTGGCCTCCCAAAGTGCTGGGATTACAGTTGTGAGCCATCACACCTGTCTTCGAGTTGCTTTTTAAACTAATAAGGAAATGAAACAGATACAGAGGCTAGAATACATGCCTTGCGGGATTTTTGTGAAGCAGAAATGAGAAGTGCCTAGCATGAGACCTATCATTAAAAGGTCTCTCCAAACCCACTCACCATTCATCAAATAAAGAGACATCTCTTCTAAGAAGAATTTTTTTATGTATGTATTTTATTGCATTTTAGGTTTGGGGGTACATGTGAAGAACATGCAGGATTGTTGCATAGGTACATACATAGCAATGTGGTTTGCTGCCTTCCTCCCCATCACCTGTATCTGGCATTTCTCCCCATGTTATCCTTCCCCAACTCCCCACTCCCCCGCTGTCCCTTCCCTAGTTCCCCTTCAACAGACCTCAGTGTGTGATGCTCCCCTCTCTGTGTCCATGTTCACATATCATTAAATTTTCCACATAACTGAAGCTTAGCCCTAGAGTCCTTTCTAAAGCTAGAAGGAAAAAGAGCTCCCAGAAAAGGCATGAGACAGTCTTCCTATGAATAAAGTTAATTGATTATAAGATATATATATATGTAATAAATTTTACTTTTTTCTGTTTATCTGTGCTCTGGACAACTGGGGTAAACAGAGAAAGTGATAACATTTAAATCAAGATATTCAGCGTTAGAGCAAAATTCTCCATCTAATGAAAATATGTGGGCTGCTCCTTTTTTTTCTTTTTTAATAATCAAGTGCAGTGGTGAGGGGGGTAAAGAGTAGAACAAGAGTTTGATCTGCAAGTGACTGTGAACAATGAACTGAGATAACGCACTACCTTCAGACCAGCCAGGATGCTTTAAATCACAGTTATCACACAATTGTCATTGGATATAAAAAATACTAAAAATGTATAATAGCATAGTACCCCCAGGAGCCCTAGATTAAAGTGGGATGATTACAAGCAGGGTAGACAGAAAGAAGGCTCTGAAATACAGCAGAACATGAAGATGATAAAAATTAATGCTGCAGAGACATTATCTATTGACATAAGATGTTAAAAACATAATAAATGAAGAATACAGTGTTGTACTGCTTTGTGGGTGAACAAGCTTTTATTTTTTAAAATCATATAGGCATTTATCTAACCTATATAAATAGAAAAAACTATGGGCAGATAAACACAAAATATTAAGAATATTACTAAATGGAATTTTAAAAAATGTTTCCTAATACCCATTTTCTGATTTTTTTTATACAAGGAAGGTTTAAAAAAATACTGACATGAGTGCAAAAAGCAGAGATAGATTAAGTTTTCATAAATATATTACTTGTGATCAATAGAATATTGTCAGACTTAAAGCAGAAGTCAACACAATACGAGGCAGCAATTTAATAGAGTGCAAATCTAATCAGAAAAAGCTTTCAAAATTCTGCTGAGAAAGAGAATAACATTTTTTTTGAAGCACATGATATTGGCTTGGAGGAGAAAGAAACAGCTTTTTGTTATTTTTTGCTGTGTTAGATCACGCTGAGTTTTTACTGCAAGAAACCTATGAAAAGTACCCTTTACTAATAGCAGTCAGGTAAGTCCTCACAGATGGAATTTATTTCACTTTTGTTCTCACTAATTCGTGAACATTGCTTAGGAAACCCCAAGCTGATGGAGCATTAAGTGCTTTCAGATAATGAGATACTTAGTAATCCAATTAAAATATCTGTTTAAAGAGGAAAGTGAGCATAGGGCTTCCATTAATTTGTTTTTAGAATGATGGCTTAATCTCAAAAAGTAACAAATGCTCAAATCTAAATAAACAAGGTAAACAATTATTGATGCAATACAAAGTAACAACCAGAATTGTGTGCTGCAAAAACACTGTATTGCATTTAATAACTCAATTTGTGCCCCAGAGAATTAGATTACTTTTCTACATACTTAAAATGCTTCAGCATTTGTACTTACGTTTACATATTATCCTTAAACAAATATTTAGGTAAGTTCTCAGTGATCTGCTGTTTTCATTTCCTGGAATTTGAATGGCCTGATCAGGTAACCAGGGATGCTTTTGTCATTACACATAAGGGCAAGGTGTGTTTGACCATTTCCTAACTTTTCTAAGTGAGGCAATGCAGAGGAAACACCTTGGAGTCCAACACACCTGGGTTCTCCCCTCAGCTCAGCTGTGTAATTCTCAGTAATTATCCCACTAGGCTTCTGCAGTGTCATATATACACTAGATCTTAGCCAAAAGGCCAAGGAGTGATACATTGTCATGTATAATATGGGGGTTTTCTTTTTTCTTTTTTTTCTTTTTTCCCTCCTTCCCTCCCTCCCTCCCTCCCTTCCTTCCTTCCTTCTTTCCTCCCTCCCTCCCTCCCTCCCTCCCTCCGTTTCTTTCTTTTTTTTTTTCTGAGACAGGGTATTGCTCTGCTTCCCAGGCTGGAGTACAATGGCATAATCACGGTTCACTGCAGCCTCAACTTCCCTGGGCTCAGCTAATTCTCCCACCTCAGCTCCTTTGACTCCACTGCTGGAACTACAGGTATGCACCACCACGCCCGGCTAATATTTTGTTTCTTGGTATTTTTTGTAGAGACAGGGTTTCACCATGTTGCCCAGGCTAAAATGGGGGTTTTCATGTGGAGTTACAAGGATTAATTAAATGAATGTACATAAGTCATTCAGCACACTGTCTGAGGGCAGTGCTTCAAAAAAGTAATACCTACTTGGGTTCAAATTCTGGCCCTACTTACCACTTATTAGCTATGTGAACTTGAATAAATTAAACTTCTCTCTCAGTTTCCCCAAGTGCAAAATGGAGATAATAGGGTACCCACCTCAGTAGGATTGTTGCTCAGTGCCTAAGCTGTGCTTGACACAGTGTTACGTGAGTGTTAGTTTGAACCATCCAGTCAGTGACGTGGGCCTGAGCAAGATCCACTGATGCTGCCTGCTAATCAGTCCTGATCCTATTTTCCTCCATCACAGCACTGTCTTCAGAACGACCTTCTATTTCTCTACACATAACTCTGCATCTAACATCTATAAGATCAAACGAAATGCCTGAAACACAGTAGCCTTTCCATAAATGTTTCTTAGAAGAAACACTGAATAAAGTACTACTCTTCCACCAACTCATTCTCTATATTTATCTCTTTCAGATGGTGTCTGGAGCAACTCCCCCAACCTGCTAGTCATGGCTAAATGCTCTCCACAATATACACTTAATAGATGGTAATCAATCATGTATGTAAGGCTAAATATTAAAAAATAATAATAAATTTCAGTAACTTAAAACTAAACAAATCCTCATTTCACACCTTGTATCAAGATGGCTATTTTTCACCAGGTGTGGAGGCTCACACCTGTAATCCCAGTCCTTTGGGAGGCCAAGGTAGGCAGATCGCTTGAGGTCAGGAGTCTGAGACCAGACTGGCCAATACAGTGAAACCCTGTCTCTACTAAAAATACAAGAATTAGCTGGGTGTGGTGGCAGGCACCTGTAGTCCCAGCTACTTGGAAGGCTGAGGCAGGAGAATCATCTGAACCCAGGAGGTGGAGGTTGCAGTGACCCGAGATTGTGCCACTGTACTCCAGCCTGAGAGAGCTAGACTCTATCTCAAAGAAAAGGCAGAGAGGAGGCTATTTTCCATAATTTCTTACCAAAGTAGGATTCGGGGTTTTCAAAGTAATGGTATATTAAATAGAATATCATTGGTTATATAATATAAAGTGTTTAACTATAAAAAGCTTTAATATGACTTATAGCTCCCAGTCTTCTTATAGTTATTATTTTATAAGTCAGAGATTAAGTCTTGTGTAGTCTGTATTATTTCCTAATTATACATTTTGCATTTGTTAAAATTAACTTGCAGTCTGTGAATACACATGAATGAGAAGAGCAAGCTAAGAAAAAATTAGCTGTTCTGAGTAAAACCAGCTGCTTTGAAATGGTAAATTTCACCAATTTTTTTTACTGACACTAGAAAAAGGCATGCTTTATTTTTAAAGGAAAAGTAAATGTTAAGAATAGAAGTTATATATAATTTAAGAATCTACTGTTCTTTAAAATACAAAGAACTAAGAACTTTTAACTTTGGTACAAGTTGGCAGTTTAATTTATCTGATCTATAAAATGTTTTATGCCTAGAAAACAATATGAAATTTCTCCCAAGGGACTTTCATATTATTCTAAAGTAGTGTTGTATATGGCACGCCCCTGAGTCTCGGGTGCTCAAATCATAAACTATGCTCACAGAAACAAGTTCCCTCACAATTAAATTTTTATTACCAGCTTGGACTTCTATCCCAAATCTCAGAATTGTACATCGACCTGACTACTTAGCATTTCTACTTCGATGTCTAGTGGCCACTTCAAACGTAGCATGTTAACACTGAGCCCCTGATAGTGTCCCGCACCTGCTCCTCCTGCTGGCTATATCCCATGTCTCATCCGTCAGTAAAGTATGTCCAGCATCCATCTATCTTCAAAGCATATCCAGAATCTGTTTATCTTCAAAGTACATACAGAAGCCACCTATCTTCAAAGTAAATAGATAATCCAACTATCTTCAAAGTATAACCAGAATCCATCTATCTTCAAAGTATATCTAGAATCTGACTACTTCTCACCACCTCTACTGCCATTATCCAGGTCCAAGTCACCATCACCTCTCTCACCTGGATTATCACATAGCTTCTTAGCCAAATGGTCTCCATTCCTCTGCCCCTACATCCCCTTCAGTTTATTCTTAAAAGAGCAGCCAAAGTAATTCTGTTAATATGTTAAATCACATCATACCATTCATCTGCTCAAACTCTCCAATGGCACCCCAGCTTGGAAAAATGTCGTCTTTCTATCAGCCTTCCTGGCCTTCCTGACCCTGATCCACCCACAGCTCTAACCAGATCACCTTCTGTTCTCTTCACACACTCTGCCCTAGCCTTACTGGCCACCTCCTTGCTCCTCTGAACACACCAGGCAAGCTCCCATCAACAGGCGTCTGCATCTGCTGTTCCCTTTGCCTGGAAGTCTCTCCTCCCAGCTGTCTGCATTGTTCACTGACTTCAAGTCTTTCTTCAAATCACACCTTCTCCATGAGGCCTTCCCTGGCTGTTCTATATAAGACCCCCAACTATACCTCCCAACACTCCCTCTCTCCAAGTTGTGCTTTTTCTCCACAGCATTTATCAACATCTAATACACTATATACTTTGCTAATTTTTACTGTCTCCCCCAACTAGAATTAAAACTCCATGAAGGCATGCATTTTTGTCTCTCTTCCTTACTATTTTACCTGTCAAGCCAAGAATAGTGCTCAGAATATTATAGGCACCCAATAGATGTTTGTCAAATAAATGAACTTCTCCAAAATTTAATATTATCTGATATGATACTATGTTTAGGCTGATTGATATTAATTAAGTACAACAGACAGAAGTCCCAGAATTATCATCAAATTAGTAGAACACTTTGGGAGGGATAACAAATTGCTCATTCATTCATTATACCAGTCACTGGAAAAACAGAAATGAACAAGTAGATATGATATCTGTCCTTATGGAGCTTGCAGTCAAAGTGAAGGTGTCCACTCCCCTGCCCCATAACCATAACCAAAAGGTGCCTGTGAGTAAGGCCAAGGTCAGTTGGCACCCAGTTCTCCAAGCTAGCAACATGTGAATTATCCTCAATTCTTTCTTCTCCCTCACCTTCCAAAACCATTACCCAATTTGTCATGAAGACCTCTTGAGTCTACCTGAGGAATGTTCCAAATGCAGTCCAACTCTCTACCTCCACTATCATTTCAATTCCCCATCCTCCATTATCTGCCATCTGAGAACTGCAGCATTCTCCAAACTGGCATCTTACCACAGGCTCTCACATTCCGGTCTGTCTTATACACCTTAGCTGGAGTTACCTTCCCTGAAACAAACACTATTCCCTTTCTTAAACATTTCTTGGTCGGGTGTGGTGGTTCATACCTGTAATCCCAGCACTTTGGGAGGCTGAGGTGGGCAAATCATGAGGTCAAGAGATAGAGACCACCCTGGCCAAAATGGTCAAACCTCTACTAAAAATACAAAAATCAGTCAGGCGTGGTGGTACACGCCTGTAGTCCCAGCTACTCAGGAGGCTGAGGCAGGAGAGTCACTTAATCCTAGGAGGTGGAGGTTGCAGTGTAGGAGGTGGAGGTTGCAGTGAGTCAAGATTGCACCACTGCATTCCAGCCTGGTGATAGAGCAAGACTCCGTCTCAAAAAAACAACATTTCTTCAATAGCTTCCCATTGCCTACAAAAGGATATACAAAGTCCTGCAGTCTGATTCCAAACATACCTTGAGAGGTACAAACACAACTTTGGTTTCTGGCTTTGTCTTCTTTTGAGGTTTTTATTTTTGGTTTTGTGTTTGTTTGTTTGTTTTGCCAGATACCATCCCCTGCCCAGCTGCTTGGCAAATACCCATTAGTCCATTATTCAATATTCAACTAAAATGTTACCTCTTCTGTGAAGCTCTCTCCTATTCCCTACACAAGAGCACTTTTCTCTCCTCTAAGCTTCCATAGCATTTGATATACTTCTGTCATAGCACTGAAAACATAATCTGTTATTGTTGGTATAGCTTCCTCGTTCACTACTGAAAGGACCATGACTTAGTAATTTTTGGATACTCTATGCTTAGTAGAGGGCCCACAACAGAAATGCACTCAATAAATAACTTGAATAACTGAATGAAAAGTATTGTCAGAAAGAGCTTTTTTACATGGCCCTGAAATGGGTTCCCTGGCATAGCTTCTATCTGATACTGGTTCTGCTTGAGATCACAGAGAACATAACCTACTCTTGTTCACATGGATGGCTTCTAATTTGAAAGCAGCCATCAAGTCCTTCTGGGTCTTTCTTTTCCCAGACAAGCATGAGTAGGTCTTTCAGCTTTTCTCACATATCACAACCTCACATCTGTTTACCACCTGGACATGCTTCTTCTGAACACATCCTAGAAACTTTACATCCCTTTAGAATGCTGGCACCTAAAACTAAGTGAATATCATTTCCTTTGTTGCAGTCACTACTCTTCAATTAATCTAACCTAAAAGAGAATTAATATTTGGGGGTTTACACTAACTGTTGTTTCATATTGCACTTACTATAGACTGACAATATTTAAAATAAGATTTATTTGCTTTCATTATGAGTATAATGCTCATTCATATTTTTGTAAGCTGAAAATAGGAAGAAAAACAAATCTCATGAACCAAACACATTTAAACCACTGCATGTGTTTTGGTAAATTAATATTTTAATGCACAAGGGGGTTTTGTTTTACATTCCTCCAACCATATGATATAGTCACAATTTACACATATTGCACACATAATATTTTTGAGTATTTCTAGTTGACAGTAACTGCCATTTTTACCCATTAACCATATGCTATTCTAACAACAATACTGCAAGTGTTATTTGTGATTTAGAGAAGAGCATACTGAAGCTTCGGAAAATTAAGTGACTTGCTCAAGGCCATGTGTTATTTTTCCCTCAGTTTATCAGTAAGGAATGTAAAAGAGCACATCAATATAGAGTGTATAGTTTGCTGAATTTGGACGTGTGGATAGACCTATGTAGAGATCAATATATGAAATATTTCCATCACACTGGAGGGTTCTCTTCTGCTCATTCCCAGTTAATTCTCCCACAGGGGTAACCACTATTCTGCCGTCTATGACTATCAGTCACCAACCAGTTTGCTTGCTCTTGCATCAAATCAGTGGAATCATTTAGTATGTACTCTTCTGGTCTATCTTTCTTTGTTCAACATAATGTTAGTGAGAATCATTCATGTTGCGTGTGTCACTAATTGGTTATTTAGTTATTACCACACAGTACTCTACATAAGAATATACCACATTATATTAGCTATTATAGTTTTATAATGACATCATGGTATAATTATACTAATTATTACATTAGATTATACCAGAGTTAAGCCATTCTCCTGTTTATGAACATTTGAGATATTTTCAGTTTTGGTTTAGTTTGAATGAAGCTATTCTGAACAACCTTTTAAAAGTCTCTTGTTAGACATGAATCCTTCTCCTGAGTACACACCTAGTTCAACTGCTAGGTTACAGGATAGGTATAGAGTTAGCCTGAGGAGATACTGCCAATTTTCCAAAGTGGCTGAAGTGATTTACATGTTTCTCTGTAATGTGGAAAAGTTCCAGTTGCTTCATATCCACACTGATACTTTTTTCAAAGGTTCATTCTGAATCCTCACCAATATTTGATTTTTGTCAGTCTTTAAAATTTTAGCCATTCTGATAAGTGTGTAATATTATCTCATTGTAGTTTTAACTCCCATTTTCTTGACGTGTAATAATGTTAACTTTTTAAATGTTTATTGATCATTTGATTATCTTCTTTTCAAAGTGCCTTTTTCTTTTTTAAACTGGACTGTTTGTCTTTTTTAT